TATGTATTTGTTCCATGGCGGCTAGCAATCTGGGCAGGGGAAGAAACCATCCGGCGTACAGATTGCTACTACGTTTCATGACGTACAAGTTAGAAAGCTGTTTTTGCGTGGCTTTGCGTATTTTTATGTACAATAAAGTACTCTGATGTTAAAGATCTAACAGAATCTTACCGTCTTTTATGTCAAAATAAAATTTAATATTCGAAATTCCAGCATTTTTAAGTTTTTAATATTCATGTTCGAACGTATATATTTTTAAATAATATGGCTATTAATTCCTATTTCTGAAAATAATAAAAATCTGTTATATGCAGAGTGCTCAGCTATTTCTGGGAGAAAATTTAAGGGGTGATTCTAGAATCTGAAATAAAACGAAAATCAAGTATAAAAAAATTATATTTAAAGCTTCGTTTTTTAATTATTAACGTTTAAAAATATCTCAGTAGTCGAGCAGCCCTCCTTGCAATATGGGGCACCTCCCAACGAATATAGGACTCGTCAAGGCACGAGAATACAGTAATCCTGAAAATCAATCACACATAGTCGCTACCTTACCTCGTGCACGCTATAGAAAAAAAAGCAGTGACATTCAGCACCGTAAACGGTATTACCGACTTCTGCGGTACCACCGTTTACTGCACCACGATACAGGTGCATTACGAAAAATTCTACAAATCTGTATTCCATTGTGTACTTCAAACACAAGGTACACTATACACATAACAAACGCAATACACGCAAATTGTTGAGGATTTACACGATACTGACTATCGTGCCGCCCTGGGATTATTGCATCCTTTCGTGCCATTTGAAGTTCTCTCTCGAACGACTGAATAACGGTATTTGTGCTTAACTAATTTTATTCAAAAACTTAACTTTAAACTATCTGTATAGAAGAAACCTGAACGTTTCTTATTGGTCTCAATATCAAGTTCACTGGCCTGATTGCTAGTGCGCTACTGTATTACTATGGATCTATACTGGTTTACTATTCTTTCCTGACTGTCTTCAAGGAAGCTACGCTGCCTTCCAAGTCGCCTTTCCTTGTACTAAATGTACGCTGATTGGTGACGTTGGAAATCTCAAAACGCCAGTCAACATGCCTCAGTGACATCGCAATTCCCTTCCCTTGTGCCCTCAACATGCATTATCTTGGACAGGAGGTGATGTTCTTAGCTAAAAGTGACGATATCTGACAACAGCGGGGGTTTTCCTCCAGGTCCGACTTCGTCGACCTCTTGACATAGCACGGTCCTTGGCTATTGAGGACGAGAGTAGTGACTTTCTAAAACCTCAAGGTTGTAAACATTTTTAAACATTAAACATTAACCACTTTATTTTCTATCATATACTTCACATATCACTGAAAAAAATCGCGCACGCATGAAATGAAAATTGCAAAAACTAAAGGAAAATAAATTAAATTTTGTAGTGCACCCCGTAAAGAGGGTAGTGCTCCGAGCGGCCACCAGAGTAGCGCCCTCGTCACTTCCCTCGTCACCATCCCTTATAGACTCCCCCACTATCTCACGCCCCCACTCCATCAGTCTCGCTGGCCCAGGGGACCCCCAGCAAGGATAAAAAGAGGGCCGATCTACGATTTTTATGGACAAACACGGATGCTTGCTCCAAGACGCTCCCTTGTGTGGACATCGAACGGACAAAAATCCTGCCTGGCTCCGACTTTGCTCCCTGGCGTGGACAAACCCGGACCACGAGGCAACGTTTAGATCCGTCTACACGCGATAGTGACCGAGTGACAAGGACAAACTCGAAAACAGACGTTTAACGCTGCAGACGAGTGCAGTAGCTCCGATAATAGTGGCACAGTGTTCTCGTAAGGTTGCGATCTTTAAGTGTAGTCGGCCCGAACCCCACACAACCTTATACCGCGAAGATCACGCATTATAACTTACATTAAAAGTATGAATGACTTCACCCCCCCCACCCCCAACCCATATGCTCCTTTTGTTGGGCATGGAGGCCTCGATCCCACAAATATTACTGCCTTCTTTTCTACGACTCATACGAGGTAAGGTGCCGGCCATTTGTCGTTGGTTTTGAGGATCACCGTACTCCCCGTATCTTGACGTGCGCTACATTTGTTGATGTAAGGAAGCTTGCTTGCACATGCGGATATTTTAAAATGTTGATAATTAAAAATCGAAACCTTAAACATAATTTAGATATTCCTGAGTTTCGTCTCATTTTAACAACTAGAATCACCCCTTAAAATTTTATATTTTATGCTTGCCGATAGTTAATTGTGGAACAAAAACCGCTACTTAATTACTACATTTTTAGAAACTTGATACGTTAAGACATGAAGTTTAATTATTTTCTTCCCATCTTTAGTAGCTTCTAACAGAACAGTTCATAACATTATTTGCGAACTACTCTGAATATCAGTCAAAGTAACAACTCAGACACTTTATGAAACAATGTCCAAAGGGAGGTCGAAATTTGATCACCTATTACCTAGAACTTACTTAAGATTTTCAGTTTGTTTTCTCTGATGCACGCGACGTACCGAAG